AATTTATCAATCTGCCACGCAAAGAAAGCCCTGTGTGAAGCGCTTTGTGCGCAGCATTACATAAGGTGACTTTGCCAGTTGGCATTTCACAATGCATTTACACGAATGCAACTGCTTTGATACAGTTTTGATACACTGGACTGAGTTAACCGCAGAACATTCAACCCAGAGCAGCAGATTGTGAAGATCAATATGGTTTTATACAAATTTAAAAAGTGTTTTTTACCAATGCTGTGCATTCATTTGATGACAAATGCAGCAAAACTGTTATATTATTACATTTGATTGTCGATTGCCATTAGGTCAGTCATCATGTGCTCTTTTAGAAATTGTTCTAATATTCTGATTTGCTTATGCTCATTTATTATTATTAAATAATATTAAATGGAATCAGGCGACTGCTTACTTAACTACAGATCCTGGCAGATCATTTTCTTATTTATTGCAATGCTTCTATCAGTAAACGCAGGAATAAACAGTATTATTAATGTGGGGTCTGATGTGCTTTTCAGTCTAGCTGGTGTCCCAGTGCACTACAGACAACAAAGCCAACTACATCATAAGAGAGGAAATAGAGTTAGTGTTGCCACTGTTCTCTGCTCTGTTTATAAGTGGCTGCTAGGAGACAACAGTGATAACAGAGCAGTCCAGACATGGCCTGAACTTAGAAACCCAAAAAGAACTGCTTCCCACAATGTCCTGTATTCTGTCTCTTGAGCTAATTTAGATTCGCACATATACAGTATATTTTTGTTTTGAAAGCTTATTTCCACTATTTTTTCATCTAACATTTGCCCTTGTGTAAAGACCACAAACTGCTTCATATTTTTAGCCCACACCACAGCCTTTTAATTTATACTCCATTCGATAATGAGTAGGGATGGGAGGGGGAAAAAATTAACCATTCGTTTGTCTGGATACGCATGGTAAGTGAGTGTGTGGATTGTTTTGGTATCTGATTGGAAAATGTGGTCTTATAGCATGTATTACTGTCTGTATCACCCTCGCTTTATCTTTGACGCTTTCTCTCTCGTGGCGTTTAGAGCAGTTTGTTGGTGTGATTACAGCTAACCGCAGTCTAGTCTATCCCATCACTGTTCAACTTTGTTCTTTCAATTCACATGCTTCAGGTTATATCGGTTTAAAGATTCGAGTGCAGGATGCAGCAGCAACTCAATACTCAAGCTGGTGGCCTGTCAGCTCACAAATACTTTTTTAATTTCATATCAGTGGAACACATGTATCGCAACATAGGAATTTGCATATTTAAGAGTCGGCAAGTCTAAAATAAAAATTTGTGAAATCAAATAAGAAAATAAAGGTCATCATTACCATTGATCAGCAACACAGGACTAAATTAAAATGTATATGTCCTATATGTATAATAAGAGTGAAATTAGAATACATTTTATACATGCCTTACAATTAGGGTTGGGCCAATAGACGATGCCATCGTCCATCACCTGTTTATACTAATACGTCTTACTGTTAAAATGGCATTTTAGAACGAAAATGATCCACATCCACACCATTTTACCTAGCATTTCTGAACAGCCCTCCGTCCGCTGAAAACGCACATCACGTGACCACACATACACACGCGCGCTGAATAGTGTCTCACTATAGTTGTTAAACGTGTTATTCAGAAATCCCAAGTCTCCCAGAAGTTCTGGGGGTCTTTATGCATTTGCGGGACTCATAATGCCCGCAAACGAGTGATAATGTCTCGGAAATCACACGTCTCCCTCCCGGTCCTCAAATAAGTCGCGCACCTTTTTCACCCCCGGATCCCCCCTCGCTCTTCAGAGACTTATGCTGATGTATGATATTTCTAAATAGTCTTTAGTTGCTACAATAGTTTTTTTACATTGTAAACCAAATCCATCTGAATATCATGACCACCAAAGTGATACAAACCAACCTGATAATTTTGTGAATTGTCCCACCCCTAATAATGATCGAACATTCTCGTCTGCATTTTTTCTCCAAAAGTAATGTGTTAAAACAGACTGAACTAGAATTGCAGATACTGTTTAATACACATTTTCACTTGCAAATGTGGGTGCAGTCTATTTTTTTTGCAGTCTTCAATATTTTTCCCCATCCGTATATTTTCTAATAGTCAAAAATCAGTTCTGCTCAGTTTTGTACTTTGTTGACATATAACGTAGGACTAATACGATTTAAAACAAATAGGTGAGCTGCATGTTTAAAAAAAAAACTAACATCATACAGACCCTTTACATACAGAGCATAAGGAAGACAAAAAGGGCAAAAATACATCACAGCTGGTCATATCAACAAACAATTTGACTATGTTCATGTGATAACAGCCAATAACTGACATATGTTTGCATATAGGGCACAATAGTGATGTGTGCAAAAACTAGACGTCAGATTTATTTGTGAATTTAAAGAATATGTTTATTCATACTGGAATGTATATTTAATTAAATGTCATACTGACTGCCAAAGAGAAGCACCTCATCAAATTGCATTCATTTTGTTTTAAAGACATTTGGCCTTGTCCACCTTCCATACTAGCATACACTTAGCTGAAGTATACTTCAAGCTTTACACTCAAAGTTAATCTTTATGAACACAAATTGCTTAACTAACATTGACAAATACTAGTAATCTTTTCAATTTCAAAGTCAATATATATCAATTTAGACACAATAGTCATTTACAGGCTATCAATAGTCATTTGAAAAGAACTTCAAGCTAATTGGCTGGCTGAGCGGACAAAATAACAGAGCTTACAGAGTAGAAGAACTCAATGAAGATCCTATTGTGATGCTTTAATGCATGTCTTCCCGATTCCTCCAGTCTGCTGCGGGACTGTGTTAGTGTGAAGCTGCTCTGAGTCTCAGGCTTCTGCGGCACAGCCTCGCGGTTTGTTAAATGCATCATAAATTACAGCAATGGTCAAGCCATCAGCCAGAAGACTTTAAGTTTGGCTTTACACTTTACAGCTTTAAAGTCACAGGCACAGAGAATATTTTTATCAACAAAACAAAAATATTTATATTCATTTTCCAGTGAATATAGCCAACATATTTTAGTGCATAAAAAATAGAGTTAAATACATTAAGATAAGAGCCTGGTCATCTAACATCTTTAGGAATAGAAAGATAAATAACACATTTAAATTCAAAGGAGTTATTCTAAAATAAAAACACAAAACAATCATAAAACTACAAAATTAGCTACAGTTTTTTATTGTTTCTTTTAATTTTTTTTAATAAAATTTGTATTTAATATTTTTCTTCAACATATTAATTTAAAATGTAAGGTCATTTTAAATGGAAAAGGCTCAAAATAAAACAGTCAAATAGCAATCAAAAAACTGTTTGACTGTTAAATATGCATATGGCCATTTCAACAATGCTTTCCAAAATAATGTAATAAATCAAACAAATAAAAATAAAACTAATTGAAATGTACAAAGCAAATAAAAGTAAAATGTAGATGTTAAAATAGAAGTAAAATCTTATTTGCTGTAATTAAAAAAATATATTGACAAAAATCTCACATCTAAATAATATTTTAAATTATTTCTGTTTCTATTTGTAAACAAAAAACTGTTCTTTTAAACAAATATTATTTTACAATATTCCTGCATTACTGCATATTCAAGCAATAATAAAACAGTTCTTTTAAATCCAAATATTTTACATTATTTAAAAAAATAATTAAATGCATCTTTGAATAGTATACAGCTAAGGTGAGAACAAGAGATGCAACTACAGAAAAAATATTCTCAAATATCTGAATAGCATCTGAGATAGATTTTTCTTTCTCTGATAGGAGGAATTTACTACTTCACAAAAGATCTGTCACAGCAGATTAGTATTTCAGAAGATTACCTCTTGACATAAACTGTTATTACTAGGACAGAAAAAAAGAAGAAAAAAACCCTAATGTGGAGTCTCTGAGAATGCATGGTGAATTTCGTCAGACTGAGAAAGCGAGGGACAAAGAGCACTGAGCTGAAGATATGGCCAGACTGGCCTTGCATTGTAATTATAGCAATCCTTATCTAACCACATTGAAATTATGGCATACTCAGAGCCCTGATTTACGAGGTAAAGATCTTTGTCTACAGGATCTCGACAGGACAAATTGCATATAACCTCACAAAGACACGGGGCTCTAGACAAGTAAAGCATCAGGGTCAGTTAAAGCATTAAAGCTTCAGTATCATTTCATTTCGAACCAAAACCAAATCAGCAGGTAAAACAAAACAACAAAGCAGAACTTTTTGGAGCTTATATTACCACTCGTTGAATACAAGTAATCTCCATCAACTCCACAGACAATCATTAAAGCATTATTTTTAAAGCAACACATTAACTACATGTTTAAATGCATCTGATTAAAATTCAGATTTTTTTTTTTAGCAAAATCCTGTAAACTCTGTAAATGAAAGCCACAGTGTTTCAACCTTGTGACTCGGATTTGATTTGGAACAGACAGATTTATTCTGTCTGTGTATTATTTGATTATGACTATTTGCCTACTGAACAATCTGCCTTTTCATCACGAAAATCTGTATAATCTCACATAATCACAGCAAAAAAAGCAACTTTAACACGCTATTAAGTCTTTCAGCGGTGTGTGTGTGTTGTTGCCATTTAAAGGATCTGGTCACTAAAATAGTTGATGATGTGCGACTCATATTTGGAAATCAGGAAACACTTCACCAAAGGAAAACATTTTCATAAACAGTCCCACATTATTCCCCCCTCCAGCTCAGCTTTGAACACGTATTATTTGCCTCAGATACAATGAAGACAGGAAATCTGGAGGCTTTGAAGAGATCACAACCTCACAGACAAACAAAGTAAACCTTCAGAAAGGAAACACCTTCAACAAGTCAGATGAAAATATTTTTCACAGCATAAACATCCAGTTGTGAGATATTAGTAATGTTTTTTTATGATAAAATGATGCCATACTATCTACAGCTCTAAGATAGATGCATATTATAAACTCACCCAGTTTAGGGTCAAACCTCCATGCCGGAATGTGATCATTCTCTTTTAAGCCACTGTTTGCAGGAAGAGGGACGCTCACACTGATTGGCTCGCTGACGTGAAGCTCCACCCCATCACTGCCCAGAAGATGGACACTGAGTGCAGCTATAGGAGTCAGCTCAAACTTTCGCTCACTGCCTATTAAAGAGAGAAAAAGAGAGAGAGAGGCAAGAGTTCAACAAGATAGAAAAAAAACAACAATGTGAAACAATATTGACCAAGATAAGACCATACTGCAGAAACCAACGTATAAAATCTAGGTACGCAAGATATTTGTATGTTTTTTTAAGAGGGTATTAAAGGGAACCTATTATTCCTCTTTTTATAAGATATAAAATAAGTCTCTGATGTCGCTAGAGTGTGTTTGTCAAGTTTCAGCTCAAAACATTAAATATTATTTTAACTCTTTAAACTGCTCCCTTTAGGATTTTATTCAACTTGTGCTGTTTTGGTGATTGTGACTTTGAATGCAAATGAGATTTTGCTCCCAACCTTCTTTAAAAAAAAATTATGAAAAAAAAAAAAAAAAAGCACATACCCCCACTGATGACACATACAAAGGGAGAATGTCAATCAAAGTGTTTCTGCAAACATTTTAGGCTTGCTATATTTAAACACAGTTGCCGCACAATGGTGTTTAAACCCTATACAGTAATTTTTGCATAATAGGTAACCTTTAAAGGAACCGGTAGCTCATTCTGTCATCATATTCTCAACATTCATTAGTTCCAAAAATTTTTTATACTGTTTTCTGAAGATATTTTGAATGCTGGAAACTAGTAGCCACTGACTTCAGCGTTTTTTTCCAACTATCGTAGTCAATGGCTATTGGCTTCCAACATTCTTAGAAATCCTCTTTTGTGTTTAACAGAATAAAAGGAAACCATACAACTTTGAAACTGACCATTTTATGAACTTTTGTGCAGGAAACTATTTTAATACGATGTTAGATCGATAGTTGATGTTACTTCTTAACATTTTATTTATTGTTAATGAGTCAGCTAAAACAGTATCAGACAGACATAATAACAGTCATCCATTATAATTACGACCACAGCAGAAAATGAGTTTCATTCATTTTAAAGTGAACTCATGTTTGTGGCATTTATCATCATTATAGACGACAGAACTTCTAATGTAATGGCATAATAATTAATTATTCAGTGCTCATGAACTTTCCATTTAAACACAATTATTGTGAAATTCAGTACTCATCAATTCAGAGTGAAAATAACTATGTTAAAGAGCCCAATGAAAAAATAGTTTTCCCATGTACATTTTATTTAAAAATGATCCACAATACCACAACTTCACAATTAATTAATTAACCTATGCACACATACAGACAAAAACATACCCTTTAATTTAAATTAATCTAAACATCTACAGTAAGTGATATTTTTGTATTGAGTTGACATCAAATAATAAAGTATGCAACCCGTCTTTCTATAGTGTTGATTAATGTTTGACTGACAGGCAGCTGCTCTCCTGTGGCTTTATATCTGTATTTGTACACATGCTTTGTGGTGATGTGGCTCAACTTATGGACCGTCAAACACAATGAAAAGGACTGGCTTGTGAGCAATTAATGAAGTGAATTTGTCTGAAGGAAAAAAAATGTAACATGTTTTGCATCCAAATAAACCTGTTGTTGTCTATTATATTTTTAGTACGATAATCTTTTTTTTTTTTTTTTTTGGTAGAAGAGCTCCTATTTATTCTTTTTTATGCATTTACCCTTCCTTGACTGTGTAACTCGGTGTAGTTTTTCAAGGTCTGAAAGTATCAAAGATCAAAGTGCACAATCAATAGATTTATTGTCTTCAATAAATCTATTTAAAGGGACACTTCTTTAAATAGAGCTAAACCTACTGTAAAAAAAAAAATATATGTATCTAAATTATGAACTGTAAACATAGCACATTAAAGGCACTTTATATTGAAATTGTTCACTGCTGTTGGTGTTTACTGCTAACTACTAAAATCTGGTATCATGTACACTGCAAAAAAAGCTTTTCTTATTTCCGGGTTTCTGCAGATATCATAATGTCAAATTTAAGACTTAAAGACCTTTTTAAGACCTATCACAATATCAAAAACACACATACACATAAAGAGAAAATGATAAAATCACAAAATTAGTAATAAAATAAATGTATTCAAATTGAACAGTACTAAATACAGGTTAGATGCACCATCGAACTACAGAAAAAAACAAACAAACATCCTAAGGCTGGTGCTGCATCGCGCACCTCACAGACGAGGCTTTTATATCGGACACATTCACCATTGAGATAATATTTTAAATGACAGGGGGCAGTCAAAAGAAACCCACTGTAAAGTCAGACGAATAAACAGAGAAGTAATACGTTTCCGGAACTACGTCATATCATTAATATTATTGAAGATTTTTTAGACTAATTGTTTTTTTATTACTTTTACAATTTATTATAAAGATTATTATAACCATTCAAGATTTTTTTAAATCAAACTGACGCATCACTTGCTTTTTTTCCTATTTCAGACAGCCTTCTACCTAATAAAGTTGAATATCAATGACAACAGAACATGGGTTGCTCTACAACTATATATTTTATCATAGAAAAAATAAAAGCAAAAACTCACAAAAATGCTGACGTTTTTTATTTATTCATTTTTTTTCACTCTACAATTCACACATTACTGTCTGGCTAGTTTCTGTCCAATACTTATGCTAAAAAGGCAATAATGGTCCAACATTCCTGGCCATTATCACCAATAAAGCCTAGAAAAACAGGTATCAGTTTATTGTAAACTGATAGGTTCAAATATTTCTTTCCAGTTATCAAAGACATAATTTGTTACTTAATTTTAGTTTGTAATTAGTAAATTGTTTTAAATTCAAAATTGTAATATATACATCAAAATCTATGAATGGTGGAAAAACATATTCGGTAATATTAAAACCACTTGGGTCTACACTTTTGCATCGCTTCTTTTTTTGTTTTAACAAACTGTTGGTCTCATTTCTAGTTGTAATACCGCAAATTACATTTGGACTAGTAAAATAAAGAACTATAACACCACGAAAACCAAGCAACAACAAAACATTTTTTAGAAGAGCATTAGATGTAGCGTTACATGGATATCGCAAAAATAAGACCTGTGGGAAAATATTTAAGACCTAGAACAACCAATTTAAGACTTAAGGCGTAAAGTTTCAACTTTTAAAATGTAGACTTTTTAAGAACCTACGGAAACCCTTTATTTAGAGTTTTGACTTATTTCTAGTCCAAATACAAGCAAAATAGGTAAAAACAAGCTAAATAATCTGCCAATGGAGTAAGCAAAATAATCTTGTTTTAAGGAGAAAAAAAATCCACTTAATTTTGACTTCTTATTTCTGGATACAAGACTAGTTTTTTGCTTGTCTAGAAAATGTTTCTTGGTTTGAGGATGCTTAGATATTTGAAGTGGAAACAAGACAAAAATGAAGTAAGAAAATATTTCTTTGCAGTGTATTTCCCAGAAATAGCTCAGCTCCCATTGCGTTACCTGTGAAGTTTGGATGAAGCCCCTGCAGGTATGGAAAGTACTGTGTGTCCTGTGTGGAGCTGCTCACAGTGAGGAAGGCCGTCAGGTTGGTGTAGGTTGCATTAGAAGGAAGACTCAATGCTCTTCTCTGGAACTGGACCCGCGGCTGCAACTTTGGGCCTACAAACACACACACACACACAACACACACACAACACACACACAACACACACACACAACACAACACAACACAACACACACACACACACACACACACACACACACACACACACACACACACACACACACACACACACACACACACACACACACACACACACACACACACACACACACACACACACACACACACACACACACACACACACACACACACACACACACACACACACACACACACACACACACACACACACACACACACACACACACACACACACAAATATGCAACATTCTGAGATGGACGAAATGCGGCACACATTAGGCTGATAATCCAACATCAACAACATAATACATGCATCTTCTATCTCTCTCCTCTAAATGGAGTAGATCAGCAGTTGACAGAGTGCTGGTAGTGCAGCATGTGTCTCTAGAGAGTGAGGAGGTCATTATGTTTCCATTGTGGCAAATATTACATACCATAGACATGAGACCAGGCTATAGCTAATGCAGTCCTCACACAACTGTAACACAACACTCAGAATGAGACCCTCAGTAATAGTGGTGCACAATACTACCGTTCAAAATGAATGAAAAAGACATGTTTGCATATATGCATATATTTGATTACAAATAAATTAAATGAACATTAATGCTGAATAAAACCAGTAAAAAAATAATTAAATGTTAAATAAATAATACTCCAAACATTTGAAAGGTGTTGTATATTGGTGTAATATTGGTTACTGACTGATATCAGATTTCTTTTTAAATGCTTCCTTACTGAATAAAAGCACTAATGTTAAATAAATATATTAACAACAGTGTGTTCAGTAGTGGTATTGACTCATATCAGATGTTATTCTGATATGTGAACTAGCATTTACCTAAAATTAAATACTTAAATCATATTGAGCTTAAACTTCTGAATGGCAGTGTACATCAAAATATTGGATACTGGCTGATTTAGATTTCTACAATCATCTCTTATCTACTTTAGCATAGGAGATGAAAATAGTCATGGTCCCATAGAGGATCACTTTGTTCAGTTGTGTGAGGAGGAGTCAAATTTAGTTAATATTAACCCCTTCAGACCCTGCATCCATTACAATGGACATCACATGACATCACATTTCTCTGAAATGTGGAACATAATTAAGGTCTGAATGGGTTAAACTGTTATTGATTGGACCGTTATTTTTTTTAATTGAGGCTAACTATGAAGCTGTGTGCAAAAAGGGGCATCAGTGCATTTTTTGTCTCAGAAAACGATCACGTTTTCACACTGACCCTCTGTCATGCTTTTATTGTTGGCATGGTTTTAAAGTCTGTCCTTTAAAAACAGGAATAGACTGAGACCGATTATTAGGTTGTTTAGGACAGCGGTTCCAGGGGGTCCCGGCCTCAGCGAGCTCTGTGGGGGTAGAGTCATATTTAATTTTTTTTTAGCGGTGGTCAATTGGAGAACTATCATATTGCCTTAGTTTATTTTGTTCCCTAACTGACATAAAAAAAAAAATGACAAATTTGAAATTACTCTACCACAAAAAAGACAAGAGTCTCATAGATTCACCTTCAGCAGCTAATGTGAGGAAAGTGAGGAGGCTCCAAACATTTCGGGTCGCAGTGCTAGCAATACTAGAAACACGAAATGCAGGAAATACCAAAAGAGTTTGCTGAACTATGGTTTTATTCCATTTTCTTGAAGCAAAGAGTCCCTGACCCAGCCACAGCATCTGCGCCAAAGTTCTTGCTAACGAATGCATGAGGCAGTCCAAATAATAAGACATTTGCAGACGACTCATCCCCAGTACCGCAATAAGCCCACAGCCTTTTGTAAGTGCAAGGCAAAAGAATGGACTCGCACCCAAGAGGAGAGACATCAAAACTACAGACAAGAAATTTTTCGAAAATTGGCAACTAATATAGGGCCAATTTAAAAGCCAAAGGCTTACATTTTTCAGTTACAAATGGCATACAGATGTTTGCTCTTATATTTTACATTAGGGTATTATTTGTGCATAAACATATCTAGATGTAGTAATAAACATACTGTTCACCGTTGACAGGAGAATATTGTTGAGTACTGAATGCAGAACATTAGTAGCTGTAGCTCTCAACCTCTGTTTGAAGAGCTTACCCTACTCCTTTCGGGTCAAAGGTTTCAGATGTTTTTTAGTATGTCAAAAACGTTACAGGAATAGCTTTGTCCCATCATCAATTGTTGCTCTGAATAAATTTAATATTTAAGATGTACTTTTTTTGTGTATATGTTGGTGTGTGTTTATGTGTGATTTAATTGTTTGTATCAAATGCCAAACTTTGCTACAAAAAGAATCAACCTATGGGTACCAGTAAAGTCAACTGAACTAAACTGCTAAATTTAATTAGTAAGCACATGTATGTCCATCCAAACATCCATATTAATATTTAAAAACACTAACAATTCTTTTGAAACTAATAGTTTTTATATAAATCATACACATTATAATGTTGTAATGTCCAAGTTGACATACAATGACTGATTCAATGTAATTAAATTTAGGCAAAAAATACAGAAATGGCATCTGGTGATAAAAAAAAAAAAAATATATATATATATATATATATATATATATATATTTTTTTTTATTGAAATAAATTAACCCTCGTCCCTACACCTGCTTCTACTCAGAAAAGCTGATTTCATACACTTCACTTTAGTTGAGAACACTGCTGTGTCTGAGCAAAAGAACCAGAGTGAATGTGATACTAATCGTCTCCAAGAACAGGACTATAAAAGCAGATCTGTGACAAGTTTGTGTGACATTTGTCTCAGCAGTGTGTCTGAAACACTAAGTCAGTCTGTGTCCTCTGTGCTTTTGTTATGAGTGTGTGGTGATTGAGTGTTTTCAGGGGAATGACTGAGGCGATGCTCTCAATGAGAGAGCAGCGATAGCGCTCCTCTGAGACCCATAAATATGTCTCTTTCTCCACATACCACATACACTCAAACCAAGGTGCAGGTTACACAAAAAAAGAAGTTGCTAGGGGGAAGAGTAAAAGGACAATAGTGCAAGTTGGAAGAAAAAAGGACATGTGGAGACAGAAAAAGAAGCAATGCAAAAGACTGGATGGAAAAAGGGAATTCTCTTCATTCTTGTGTTGTGGTTATGCGCATGTGGCATCCGGCTCACTTAGAACATTTTAATTAGCACAAATCTCATGAGCCACAAGGAGAGATGCATTCTCATTACAAAATTCTAAATTCATATGATGCTGTGTTCACATTACACAATACTTTTATCTATTATGAGAATGCACCTATTTTTATGCAAATTTAGAATTTTTCTGCATAAAAACGCTTGATTGTGACAGTGAGATGCGCATGATTGTTGAAAATGTTCATAAAAAAAACTAATGCGCATAACTGAGTAGGATAAACTTTTTATCCAAGAAAAATGTGCATAAACTATGATGGAAACCAAATTCCAGTATGCGCATTAAAAAAGTGATGTGATTTTGTTATCATGTGAGATCATGCAAGCATAAACATGGGCAGCATTAATGAACAAACACCATTTATGAACAATGCTCTTAGAGGCGGCATTTATCACACAATTACATGTCTTTGTTTTATCATGTTTTTAAGATGTAATTACAGAATTTTCAGTATTTTAATATTATTAGCACCACTATACTATTAATCTGTATTTCAATAGTTAATAATATAACCAGGGCTTAATTTTTGCCGGAACATGCTGGATCCAGAACCTTATTTTACCGATCCCCAGTATTTACAATAAATAACAAATAGAATGCATCAAACGTTTTAACTACAAACATGCTCTCACACACACACACACACACACACACACACACACACACACACACACACACACACACAAACACACAAACACACAAACACAAACACACACACACAAACACAAAAGGGATCTGTGAGGCAGTTTTAATGAGTGACTCCTGACACACCCTGACTTTCTCCTTCACATTTCACCTTCAGTACAGGTAGTTCATTAACACTCTTTTCAAACCCCAAATGAAGCACTATGTTTATGTGTTGTCACATGAACAACAAATAATGTTGCTATTAAAAGGTACAAAATTTAATTAAGAAATACTTTTGGTCCACATTCCTATAATCTTTCCTCCTAAATTATTCATAATTTATATAATCATCAATAAATCAATTATAAAATCATTGTAATTTTCATGTAATAACTTATTGATTTTTTTTTTTATTAATGAACTGACATTTATTTATGATTTACTTTATGATTTACCTAGACTATATTAAATCCGAATACAGTTGCTGTTAGCCAGCTTTGCTTTGTTCAACACAATATTTCTTACAGTATCTGTCCTGCAAATCTACAAATATATAGATACAAATTTATAGGTAGTGATTAAAAAAATCTGTCTTGCTGGTATGATTATGAATAAACATACAGAAAGAACAAACTGATGACTGATGTTGTCAAAACTTTTACCTTGAAATCCAGAGACAATCTCCACCACATCTTCATAAACCATCAGAGTAGCAGCTCTTTCAGGAAGCAGATCCAGACTGAGAGATGAGAACACTTAAAAACAAATCAAAAATGTACAATTAGGAAACCCACTCACAACCTAGCTTTAAAGAATCCCTTCCACTTTCTTTTTCATTACTATTTGAAAACAAGATCTACTATTTACAATGCCATGCGTTACCTCAAATAGTGTGTCCTGAAACATCTGCATGATTGTGGATTGTAAGCTGATTTTCTTTTGTCTGCTACTAGTAAGTGGGTTAATCTCATTAGCCGCATTATAGCATTCGATTTATTTCTAACAGTTTTCTGCACTGTAGCTCCACTCAAGGCAAGAAACTCACAGGATGTGTTAGTCACCGAAAGGTACAGTATAATTAATCCATCCAATTAATACAGTCTTCAAAGACAAGGAACACAGCATTGTTCAGGAATAATGAAAAACAGGATTTTCTGCACGTGCACACTGGTGATTTTACAGTTACAGCTACTAATGTGTAAAAGAAACGAACACAAATTGGGCTAAGAAGAAAAACTAAACAGCTTGACACTGGTTTGGGACCAACATTAGTTTTACATCAGATGCTACAAGTGAATTCAGGCTTCACTTCAATACAATGTGCAGTATAAAACAATATTAGGTGTAACAATGCACAAAAATGAGACATTAGCATATATTGTAACCTACCTCAGGTTTCAGTACAGCAGTAGAATATTATTTTTTTTAAAGGTCCAGTAATATTAAAATATTGTTTTTTAGATGTTACACCCGATTCACACAGGTCTTCAGCATCAACGCTTGATGGAGGATGTGTCTGAAGTTGGGGCTGACACCATAGTCATAGCAGGGTCAGCCAACGAAATAAGACTACAATCGGCTACTGTCTGAGCTAGGGTATTTGCTGAAACTTCCGTTGGTGCCTGAAAAGTTGAAACAGCGCTGACAGGTCCACAATTCAGTTCGGCAACGCTTGACGTCACCCATTTAAAGTGATTGGTAAGCGTTGGCGCTGCGTTATCATTATGCAAATCTTCCAGGACATCTACAAGCTAGCGTGGGATAAAAGTGACAAAATTCACATTTTAAAGAGATAAAAACTGATAATACGCCTAAATGGATCAACGTTTTTCTTTCATGTCACTTCATTCTTCAGTTTATCATCAAAATTTGACCAATCAAATGCTCTCTAGTATCTGATATGCCACGCCCCCTTAAAGATGCTCTCATTTTTTTTTTCATTCAATGTGCCTGAGCTCAACCACTCTCACTGCTTTTAAAAAGGGAAGGAGCTACTCTACGTCCCACCCTCTCTTTGTTTTTCAGTTAAGATTACGTCAAACTATGAATTAAAAAAAAGCACAAATCAAAGCACTTCACTAGAACTTTAACAGCAGTAAACTGAACAAACTGTGTACATTTTAATTAAATTATAATAACTTATTTGTTTTTTATGGATTAAAAAGTACAAATACATTCCATATTCTAATAAATATAGTTTAAATTAGAAACAGCTCAATACATTTCCAGTTATTTGCTTTATATTAATTTACCATGTATCCAAGGTTTCTGCAGGTTTCTTCTTCTTCTAAGAAAGAAAATTTTCCTATTATAATAGATTAACTCCTATTATGAATGAAATTTTAGACTTATACAGGGCTAAACACTAAGGATTTTTTTCTAATGGCCCGGTTATTCTTTAAGTAGTTTTTGTATTAATGGAAGATCATGTAAAGGGATGTAAAGGGTTGCTTTAGTTTTCTTTCCCTGATAAGGGAAATCAATAGTGAGAATATGCTGTAAAATGTCTAATGGCTGTTGTGAATTTTATCGCTTTGCAATAAAAAACTTTTTAAAAAAATTATGATTTGAGATGGATTATTTGTTGATTGTCCAAGTAAAGCTACCCTATGGGGCCAACAGCCAAAAGGAAAATTATGACTTGTTTAAAATGATTTAAGACCTACAAAACAATATATTAGTGAATAAGACTTTTTTAGACCTAAAAGTTTGTTTTTGAAATGTAAAATATTTTAAGACTTTAAGACCCCGTGGACACCCTGTTATTATCTGAAGCTTGCTGTTCATTTTTAGAAATTCTGTAGCATATGTATTCAATGTATAATCACTGAATTGAATTAGAAATCAAGAATCAAATTAAGAGCTGAATGACTTGAAATTAGAGCTTTTTAAATCCCAGCTTGATTTAGATAAATGCTAAATTTTACTTTTTAAAATTGTTATTAGTTAAGGCTTTGAATTCTCGTGTGAGAATTAAATGACCATAATGGTAAAATAAATCTAAAATCATTTCATTATCCAAAATGAGGTGTTTACCAGGCAGCCTGCTGGGTCTCCATGGGACGGAGTTGGGCACATAACCACGCTTGGTAGCGGTGACTACAAGCAGGTCAACGAGTCGATAGGGAAACCGGATGAAGGCATTGCCGTCTGCACCAGAGACGTCAGAGGAAACAGGAGTGTGGTTGGTGAAGACCTCCACCGTGACACCAGACAGAGGCTGATGTGTGCTGGAGTCACTCAGGTGAACCTTCAGCACCACTTCTGCAAAGAAAAAAAAAGAAAGAAAAATGATACGGTCACATTCTGCTGTAAGAACTCACATGTTTAATGTATGAAGTTAACAGTATTTTGTCATCAATATGAGTATTTTGTCATCAATATTTGAGTCTGATAGCAGTTTCCCTTTAAATTATTCAAGAGCAACACCTGGGTACATAAAGAATTTCTGATATTTTAAAACTGATTTTACTGTGAAATGAATACGCTGTTTATTAGGTTTGCACACTATATCGATTCAGACTATATCATGATGTGTGTATCTGTAATAGACACAGAGTAACCAATGATATGTAAGGGATTAAAGTTGACAAAAACACCATAGTTCAGGACATACCTGATTTATGGATTAATTGCATTGAACTATAATGGAGTTTGTGGTTTGCATTGATTAAGGCACGTGACGGTATTCAAGAGAGTTTGAAGAATTTGTGTGTGAGAAATTACAAAGTTTGCTTTAATTAAGATATATATTTTTTTAATTTACACAGTGAGGAGTAGACATTGTTATTTAATATCTGATTATTCAGCTTCTGTTTATGAATATTGACTATCCAGAAAAACAATGGAGTGTTAATTGAATTTAAATCTTTGGTACATAGATTTTTTTTTTATTGTTATTTGATTATTTTATTTTATGCAGATATTAATAAAAAAAAAAAAAAGAATTCTCTCTAAAGAGAGCTATTTAAGTCATATGGTATATTTATTATATATGTATTAATATTGGAAGAAACATAATATTGCAAGCATTCTTTTCCTCCTATCTCTCTAGGAGGAAAGGAATGCGTGCAATATTATGTTTCTTCCAATATTTTGAATCTAATATATGCCATCAACTACTTAAAATTCTGCATAAGCTCGTGTCTATTGTATTTTCTATTTAAAAAAATATTACTTTTTTCAATGGACAGAATACAAATCTAGACTACAACTGTAAACATCTTAAAATATTTAGCTTTGTAGCTCATTAACATTACTCATCCCCACCCCATTTGAATCTTTCCATTTATCAATGTACTGTGTTTTGTAACTGTAACTCACACACTGGTTTAAAAAAGCAAAAAAACAAACAAAAAACAAACAAATCACATAAAAATATGTAAAAATTATGCAAAATAAATTAACTATACATATGATTTAAGGCCAGCATGATATTGGGGGGGAAAAAAACGACATTAAAAATATATTCTTTATCTGTAATATATGAAAATTCAACCCAATGACGCTACATGGAAAAAAGAACAATTTACAGAAAAAAAAAAAGGAAAATATTAAGTTTACAAGGATTATTTGCCAATAATATATACTTGCAATCTTACATACATGTTTAGGAAAAAAAAAAAAAAAAGCATCATGACTTACCACTCTAATGACAGAAGCAATTTTGAAGCTCTGAATTAAAACCTTTAGTTTAGGCTTACAATTTATTGAGGTTACGCTTTATGCAGGACAAGAAGCAATCAGTGCACATACGAGCCTGGCAGAATCGACCATCAGCAACAGCTAATAAAAATGAGTAACTGCATTACGTCTGACCCTCTTTAATTACATAAAGTGCACCCTAATGCTGGCTGGCGATGAAAAATGTTCTTCAAACTCCCTTTTCATAGAAATCCTCACAGGGCACTTAAGGAAAAGAACCAATCAGCACTCAGAGAAACCCCCCCGACATCCTCAGCACAGGCCAATGGAAACGACAGCTCAAAACAATGGGCTGCTTTCCTTCCTCTAGGAAACTCTGGCTCCATAAGGAAGCCACTGGAAAAACACTTCCTTTTCATGTAGTGATAAATTCCACACGAACACATCAAAAAGAGGGACATGTTCTTGGGTAAAGACAGACTACTGTAATTAAATACTGCTATAGTGGAAAAATTGGGGTCCATGGGAAATGCATACTACATGTTTGAATCATAAGGCTGATTTTCAAAGAAATAGTTCACATGAAAATAAATGAATAAAAAAAGGATGATTTTTTGAAGAATATTGCAAACCAGTAGAGATTGTAGGGTTGGAGGATTAATCAAAGGCAACTTTCATGATCATTAAGCTGGTTCTGCCAAATCTCTAGCATCTGCTTTCAGATGGAGAGCCACGGTTCACTGACAAGATACACAAAAATCAAAGACGATTTAATTGACGTGATTGTGAAATCAAAGAGAATCATTATGCGATTTGATTGCTGTTTGCATTGCATCTCAGTGATCAATGGCTGTGTTGCTAATACATCTGAAAATAGGGTTGTCAAAAGTATCGAGTTCGGTATTATCAATACAGAATTGTGAAAAACATCCATATTCTGACGGTATGAAACCATGGATAACAATATCACTGTTTTACAGTATTGTGATTACTGCTCTAAAATATCTTTTTTAAATGTATGAGTAAAAAACAAACAAAAAAAAATCTCTTTTGAAAATCTATTTTATTTTGAGAAACATTTAAAATATTTTTAAAAATTTTTCTGCTGTCTTCATTTGTTTTAAAAACAAATTTTCTCTTTACAATTTAAAACAGCATCTTTGGATATTTTTCTGCTGGGAGATACTGTTGTCCTAAAAAAAAAAAAACACACACAAAAACGTAAAAAAAAAAAAAAAATCTTACTCATACCTTAGGAACGGTATTACAGAAATGTACGGTATTTTGATGGTTTAAAAACCTTGACTTTTCCAAAAGTGCTCAAACGTTAGCAGAATTATTTTTTTTACATTTCTGTACCAATTGGTACCGAACTCGATACTTTTAATAACACTATCTAAAAGTATGTCAAAATGCCATATTTAATAAGATGGTTTAACTCCCAACAGTTCATAACTTCAGTTGAAAGTCCTAAATCCTTCTCTGAGATGACTCCATCGTTGCGTGATTATTAGTCACTGCAAATCAATTAAGTAGTTCCAATATCTCCGTTTGATTTCCTGGATGTCTTCTTTGCGGCGTATTTGCAGTTTCCTCATAAGAGCGCCTTCTGAAGATATTTACTACTGATCACAGAACTGTGCTTCCCTGAGATAAGGGACATAAGGTTATAAGATGTACATGACCATCGCAGCTTTTGCTAAATCGTTTTTTTATTTTTTTTATTTAGAATTATCGTGCGGCCCTATGTTATTGACATCCACAGTAACGGCTACCAGTTGCCAATATTATTCAAAACATTTTTTTGTGCTCAGCAGAAACTTACCAGGTTTGGAAGAATTGGAAGGGTAAGTAAATGGCAATGTTCATGTTTGGGTGAGCTTTTCCTTCAATTCTTTTGTACATTTTACACAAACCAGTCTGTTTGCTTTCAACCCATAAAGTGCAAAGCCTGACCATAATAAATGACAAAAAATAGTTTTGTTCAGTGTGAAAGTTAACTTACAGGTTCATTATAGACATATTTGAATTAAAGGGTTAAGAGCAAAAACACAGCATAACTTTCACTCAACCGCATCTTTGAAATCCATCAAATATGAAAGTGGTTTAAAAGCACTGACGCACATGCACAAAGTAAAACAAATGCATTACCATCACCCTTTTCTCTATTGCTTTGTTAGTGAAGGGCAGTGTGTACAGGCACTGACCTCTCCTGAAGAGCACATACTGTATGCAAACTCTACAGAGCTCAGATTAATATACGCTAAATAAAGGATCACATAGTCAGATAGTTATTATCAAGCCTTGAATCACCCAGGTGTTTATCTTGCAGTAATGACGGAGGTTTGTGCCATATCCTATAATTACATGAGTATAGTTACCACACAAACAACAAACATAGACGTGCAAAGCCGATCTGAGTTAAACTTGCACAAATCTTATGCAAGGTGGAAAAAACATGGACATTAAACTAAACTAACAAACTAAATAAAGAAATAAATAGTACAAATAAACTATAGAATTATAAATGTCCAAATTATGCTTGTTGAAAATGTAGCTTTGAATTTTACATTTTGGAAGACTTCCAAATATCATCAACACCCACACCTTTAAAAGTTAGTTAATCTGTAAAAGACAAAGGGTATGCCAGTAAAAGTGTATGATTTTAAGCAGACAATAAGAAAAAAATCACAACTATACAGTTTATAATTTAGATTTCACTATCCTAAGTTTTGCCTATTTGCCATCAAGAATTTAGTATGATCATTTATTGTTTTATATTTCCCAATAGGTTAAAATAGGTATGTGGTTTAATTGTAGACATAAATTAATTTTGACATTATCACAAAATATATTTAAAACATTTAAGATGGCACTTTGATTACATTTAATATGCTTGCTGTGTGTGTAATATCACATTTGTAAATCTACTTTGAAGTGGACACTAAAACGAGACACTAAAACGAGACGTCTCATCTTTGACCCTTATATATATTATAATAAAAAGTATGTTAGTGAGATTGTAATTTTGGCCCTTTCAGCCAATTAAAGTGCAGCAGCAGTAGTGGTGGGGTAGTTCAGTCACAGGGGACATAGTAATGTGTCATATACTATATGTGTCATAGTAAGGGGGAGGTGGATATTGATCCCACTGGAGAGACGCTGAGGAGCTCTGCAGTTTAATCCAGGCAGAATTGGAGAGACATTCAACCTCAGACCAATCAGACCAAGTCACAATGTACACAATGTACATATAACACAACAGCCATGGAACAGTCAAGCAGAGAGCCAAGTTTATACACAACACTGTTCTGTGTTGGTAAGAATAAAAATGGAAAGAATTTAAATGAACTGCAAAAAATGGCTGTTTTTCCACAAATGCTCATAGTTTTTTCAAAAATGCTGGTTAATTAAGTAAACAATAAGGCCCAAAAGCACAAACTATAATGATCTCTTTATTTAGGGGTGGGCCATAACAAAGGAAAAAAAAAAATAAATAAAATAAATAAATAAATAATTCGAACAAAATATTTCAGGAAAATCCATATTTACAGTTTAATTAGTTTTTTTTCTTTACAACACTGCTGTTTTTAATATTTTACAAGTTAAACAACCAAACT